CATTGTGTGAACGATTGTGATCCATCTTAGTTCCTGTACTGGGTGAGTTTTACGTCTCCAGGTTCTGAGGGTTTTGCAAAGAGCATGTCTATCATCATTTCAAAATAGGATGGTTATCGAACAGCTCAATTTGAAGACTTTAGAGCTGGAATCAGAAGTCAGCGGAGAAGGGACAAGTGCTGAGACCACAGAAGATGAGCTAGAACTTCTCATCCAAGCTGGATTTGGAAGTGAGTCCTATTTTTTCATGGAATCAGTTGTATTTTTTTTTTTATTTTGATATATCGATCGGTTACTGGGTTTTTTTTACGTTCAAGTTTCCTCTCACAACTTTCGCAGAAATAACTGAGAGTAGCGCTTGAAACGAGGCTTCTGTGTGATTTTTTTGCATACAACTTTCGGACCTTTCCAGCAATAGGATGATGTGACAAGAAGCGAAGTACATGAGAAGCGTAATTAGGCCACAAACCTTGGGAAAGGTGTAATGGCCGCGTCATATGCAAATATATCATCCCATCCCATGTCGTCCGAGACATGACGAATTCTTTCTTTTTGTCAAAACTTGAAAGCCGCCTAACCATTGACCACGGGCCCCTGGTCACTCTGTTGTTTTTCTGTAGTCCCGAAGGATCCATTCGGTAATGTGATGGTCCAACGGTCATCACAAAATCGCATCACTGGTCTCGCGCAACTGACCTTCGAGTCTGGCGAAAACATCCCAATCTTATTTCTCTGCCATCGTTTAGGTTTCGAGTTTCCCTCCCACATTGCCTATATAGGGAACCTCACAGTGCCAATCTCTACAGGTGATTTGGGTGATTTTAACCGCATTCTCTTCCTGCCTGCGCGGAGTCTAGTCATCTAGAAAGGCAGGATATACTGCAGAATGAGGAAGTTGGGGAATGTACATGATCATTGAAGCATTGGGAGAACGACGAACGAAGAATGAGAACGTTGTCGTTGGCATAGCAGAGGTGGTGCAGTTACCAGTCGTCAACTTTCACGGCGCTGAAACGTCTGGGCGAGCTGGTGTTGTCCTATCAAACTCCTCTCTTCCCGTCGATGATGATCTTCCCTGAGAACGGTGAAATCCTGGTGTAGAACTCATGATTTATCCTTGTGTACTGAATAGGAACGCCCTGGTTGCCTCAAGGCTTCGATGACCGCTTCTGTCTCCACAGAGTCGAAGGCCTTCTTCAAGTCGATGAACGTGAGACAAAGCGGCATCTTGTACTCTCGTGAAACTTCAATGAGTCTTCGTAACCGTGTGGATATGGTCGATCGTGCTGAACCCTCTTCGAAACCCTGCTTGCTCGCATGGCTGTCCTTCATCCACTATTCGTGCCGATCCTGAAAAGGATGACTTGAGTGAAAAGTTTAAAGCCACAGGCAGCAGGCAGATCGAGCGAAGTGAATTGTGTTGATGGGTAAGAAAGCAGACCTGCGCGAATTCACACAGGTCTCCCTTTTTATGCAGCAACACAACTGTGGTGGTTTTACACGGAGCGGTTGTCTTGCATTGCGGCGGGTAGCGCACTACTAGTGGCAATTCGTTGTAGTCTGACTCTGTCGGAATCACTCACCAGGAAATGCTTTGAACTTCCCATGGAACTTTGGAAGGAGACCTAGATGACTCCATAGAGTCTTGAACGCTGATTACAAATATGGACATTAAAACTGCTACGTGAACTTTATAAGAAAGTTACGAGCATTCAAAGTTGGCAAAAAACGTTACTGAGGTAGGCTTACCTGATGGAATCACGCTCGCCGTGGCTCTGCGCTAAAAACGAGTATCAAATTCGTAATCAGGGCACCCACTAACCCTTATAGAACAAGAAACCAGACAAAAAGCATCCGTGATTTCATCAGGTGAGCTCGCCTCAGTAACGTTTTTTGCCAACTTTGAATGCTCGTAACTTTCTTATAAAGTTCACGTAGCAGTTTTAATGTCCATATTTGTACTCAGCGTCCGAAACTCTATCGATGTTCATAGGTCTCCTTTCAAAGTTCCATGGGAAGTCAAAAACATTTCCTGGTCAGTACTGTTTCGGGGCGTGCTGGCGGAAGAGCTCGATAATCAACACTAAATGATTGGAATTGGGATTTTGGGGAGGATGTGGCATTGGTCTCTCAGGCGTTTTCTCATCCCGTGTGAGCAATTGATCTCTTCCTGGCGCTTCTCATCCCCCATAAGCAATTTGTTTTCCCTGGCGTTCCTGGGCTCAGTCCTTGTGTTACCTGGCCCTGTTTGAATATCCCTCAAGCAGGGTGAAAATCGTGTCGAGGGACGTGGTCGCAGAAGTACGACCCCCCCCTGAAATCGAGGTCTTGGCACGACCCCCCCCCCCTAAAACAGAGCATACGCAAAATCACAACAGCCGAGTGTATCGATCAACGGCCGATTCAACGGCAGCTGCGGCGCGATTTGTCCTGGGTCAGATTTGCTGAAATCCCGAAAAAAAACGTCGAAATCTACACCCTCGATGAAAAGGTTGCATTCCTCCATTTCCCAACCTTTTGAAGCAGCGGTAGGGTTAGATAGAGCTGGATTTGCTACTATCAGGCAGTATTGAAATTGCTCTGAAAGCCTTCCATTCGAAGAGATAGGGTCTCTCAAATTTCGTCGAGGGAGCGTCGAGGATGCTGAAATTTTCATGCGAGTTTTTGCCACTTAAAAGGCATATCTCTCTAATTTCGCAAGATCTTGAAAAGGGAAGACAGTTTTGGAAAGCGGAAGGTTTGCGCTTTCTGCAGTATGTTTAGCTTCCTTCTACATTTCTAGTTGAGGAGATATTTGCGTCGAGGATCTATCGAGGATGATTCTCGGCCGCTCAAAAAGCCGCTCCCTTCTTCACCATTGCAAGTGTAATTCGTTGGCAACGCTCGAAATGTGTCTAGAATACATTCTTCCAACATAAGCAATAAGAAAAGGGGCAATCGTCATCATCCGATTTTGTCTGGTATAGGCCATGCATCCGACCTTCACTCGAAGTTGCAGAATCGATTGAAAGGTGTTCATATGATCATGACCAGTTGACAGAAGCTGCATTGTAGTAAACACATTTCGTAACTCCTATAACCTAAGGAACAGCTTCATTTGCCCAGGGCCTTTCCTTCACGGTTGTCGTTTTTGCGACAGCGTCCTAACAACAGTGTCATTCTCAACGAGGTATTAAGGGAGAGGGAGCGGGCGTAGATAGAGGAGGTGCCTTTGCAGCGCGTGTGCACATGTGGCCACGTTCCTTGCGGAGCTGTATATTTCATGTTTTTTTCATACTTCGTTTTCTGCTGCGCTACACCCTTTTACTCCTATCTGCACCACGATGTTACTGACCCCACGAGTACGACCCCCCATGACCCAGCCTGACAAGTACGACCCCCCCCCCTGTCGAGGATTTCCTCGACCGATATTCACCATGCCCCCGAGGACGTAGACCCACAATAATATTTCATTATGACGACTTGTATTTTATTCTTACCTTCATAGTGGGCTTATCATTTGAATTAAACAACAAAACTGGTTAGAATCAGAAGAAAATTGATCGAAGACGATTTTCAGCGACGATGAGTTCAGGATGGAATGACAACGGTGTGTGCAGCGAGAGATCAAGAGCGGGTGAGGAAAAAGAACACTGAAGGACGTGCGCCAAATGGCTCCATTCGTTTTTTAGATGTCGCTTCAGACTCGCAACCGAACTGCAGTGGAAAGGAGAGAGAAGTGATGAGCACAGCGAGTCAAGTACAGCCGCCCAGGCGAGCCCCTAAAAGAAGTGAGCCATTTCTGCTATGAGTCTGCTTGTCAATTTTTCTACATGAATGGCTTGATCTGTCTCTTATTTACGTTCAGGTTGGAGTCCAAAAATTCCGCTGAAGGATTATGAACTGAGAGAAGCTTTGATGCCTCTAGAGAGACCTAAAAATCGTGTTGTTGTAAGAAGAAGTAAGTGATATTATTGGATCGGCACATAATTTCTTAGACACTTCACATGTATTACTGTAGAAATCTTTTGAGTAAGTGTTATGGCTCACCAACAAGTCTGGCAATTCAGCACACAAGCTAACTTATCCTGAAAGCTGGCTACCTCATTTGCTTTTTGCTTTCTTTAGCTAGAGCTCCAATGTCTTCATACCCTCTTTCTGAGCCTCTCTCTTATGGTTAGTGACTACCGATTTCGATCTTCCCCACGCCAAGCTATATAGAGGGTAAACCGGGATATAGTTAAAGGCTTGCTTTCTCTATCCGCAGTGCACTGGTGGCTCATTGTACAAGGTTGGCATTGGTTCAAAAATAACCTTTACTTTAACTAACCTGTGACTGACAATCTCGTGGTCGTTACATGTCGACCCTACGCTATTGAAAAATATGGATATGCCACCTGTTATTTGCTAGAGTTCTTCTAATGCAACTAGGTAAGGGTAGTGAGACATCTTGATATCGTCATAATTTCAAAAATGAGTGTGGTTTTTTTATCCCGCATGCTCTGAGCCCGAACCAGCCCCAGACACGATCTGACATCGTCATGATCCTGTTGGTTTCTCATGGCTTCTCCAGTTGACCACCCAGCACATTCACCGCTTGATCTGGACTGGGTGCAAAGTTCAACAAGCGGCAGTAGCCCAAGTTGAATAATTTGTGGGTTCTGACAGCAAATTAATCCTGAGTTGCTGGCAGAGAAGGGCTTTGTTTTGGGAGCCAACACCCAATAATACGGCCACAGTTGAAGGCAAACGGTTAGGAGGTTGATGACGACGCCTCTAAATTGAAAGCAAAGTAAGACAAAGTCTGCTTTGTAGACTCCAAGCTCTCTCCTCTTGAAGCTCGGCATGTTCGTCATTACAGTATTCTTTATGCTTCTGCCACGAGGTCTTTGGGTAGAATCCAACGTTTCGACCTTCACGTCGGTTTCAGAGACCAGGAATTACAGCTAGAGTGTAGGGCTACACTCAGTACATTAGTGGCGAATCTACTTTTTTATTTATTTTAATTAATTCTCTACTCATGTACTAACTGGGTGTAGCACTACACTCTAGCGGTGGATTCTGAGGCCATTGAAAACGATGTGAAGGTCGAAATGGGTCGAATGAAGGTCGTTCGACCCCACATTGCGATGAAAATTTATGACAAATCGGAGACTCTAGGCCGACACTCATAACTCCGCCGTGTAACAGTAGCCTCCTGTCAACGAACGACTATCTGCTCCTTTTCTAGTCCACCTTCTAAGGAAGTAACCTCACTCCATCACCTATGACAAAAGCGACAGCCAATTTTTCTTCGACCAGAACTCAGTGGATATCTAGATGAGAGGCATTCAACACCTACACGAATTTGTTGCTAATGGTGGTGTATGCTAAGTAGAATAAATACATACAAAAGAATTGATAAAATCGAAAAGCACACCAAGTGTCTCAAAAACTATGTGCTATCCTAATAAATTGGTCAGTTCAGTAGGTAGTAGATCAGGAAATTGCTCTTCATCGGCTAACCTGAAATTTTTATGGGCGTTTGGCTTTGATTTTTTTCTCGAAAAATTATTAAAAGCAGGTCGAGAGGAAAATGTTGAGGTCATTTGTGAAGGGCAGTCGGCATCCATGTACAGGGGGGGGGGGCAATGAAAAAAAGACATTTTGTCTCCAGACTCAAATGGATTTAGTCACCCTTCGCCCAGCTTACAAGCGTGTGCTTCCAACTTAGAAGAAGATCGTATTTCATTCATAAGGAAAATCTTCATAGTGGCCATCTACGTGGCGGACATTCAGATAGAGCTTTGCCCCTAGAACATCGAACTACCCACGTTGAATCGATCCAAGAAATTATGTAAGAGCTTCAGGCTGAAGCAGTTACTGTAGGCCTCCCTGAGCTCGACGACGGTGACAGATGACGTCATATTCTGAAGACGGTGAGGGTAGTGAAGGAGGGCCTGCGTGTACTTATAAGGGACATTTAGGGAATATTTTGCTGAGGAACTTCCGTCAGCGACGGCAATCTCTGCGAAGAAAAAAGGCCGAAGTGCGACCTGGGCAAAATGTCTTTTTTTTTGCCCCCCCCCCCCCGTATATACATACGGCATGGTAGTCGGGTGATGGCTCGCTAAGATATGTTCAAAGCGACTTTTCCGTTTTTCGCAGCGCGATTTTTTTTTTCGTTACGGGTCCCCAGGTCCATCATTGATCAGGGTGGGCCTGGGTTCCCATAGAGCGGGAAGGTGCTCTCTGTCCCAGCGAGTCACACCTTTGGTAGTTGTACGCGAATTAAATAGCGAACAATAAATGTATTTTGTCATTTCAGTGCCAGAACAAAGACGAACCCAATTTGTATTACCTGCCAGACAGGAAAAACCTGAAGGTAACAGTTTGTGAATGTTACCGTTCATAACCCAAGGCAAGTACTCGCAAATTCGTTCAAGTCGTTTCAGAAAAAGCTCCTGATAAGACGAATGTCGTTCTGTGCCCCAGTGATGACAAAAAACCTGGAGGTAGGGTTTGGTCTCTTTATACATAACATTATGAACGAAGAAAATTCGATGTGATTGGTTAGCCTCAGAATGCTTCAAATTCCACTTCTCTCCTGACTTATGGTTGTCTTTGAATACATAATGGCCAATGCAGGCGTCGCCTGAACGAAAGTCGGCCAAAATGCCCTCCACTTCCGCGAACCAGATGCTCGTTGAGTGCAGACCACACACCACAAGTGACGACGGCCTCCAAGTAAATCTGGTTACTAGTGGTTCATAGTGATAGCTGATAGTTGGTAAATGATAGTTGTAATTAGTGACAACTGATAGAATACAACTGCAACCGGCTAATCATTTCATTGGCAGAACATTACATTTTGTGGACTGTCACTTGTGTTGTGTGATCTGCACTCGACGGCACTCGATACTACACACAACACAAGTGGCAGCCCACAAAGCGTAAATGTTTCTGCCAATGAAATGATTAGCCGGTTGCAGTTGTATTCTATCAGTTGTCACTAATTACAACTATCATTTACCAACTAATCAGCTATCACTATGAACCACTAGTTAACCAGATTTACTTGGAGGCCGTCGTCACTTGTGGTGTGTGGTCTGCACTCGACGACATCTGGTTTTCGGAAGGGAGGGTATTTTGGCCGACCTTTCGTTCAGGCGAAGCTTGCATTGGCCATTATGTATTCAAAGACAACCATAAGTCAGGAGAGAAGTGGAATTTGAAGCATTCTGAGGCTAACCAATCACATCGAATTTTCTTCGTTCATAATGTTATGTACAAAGAGACCAAACC